TCCATTAATTTATTAATTTATTAATCATTCTTATTCTGAAGAGAATTACCTTGAGATTTAGATTGGTTTATATGTACTTTTACATGTTTCTATCAACTTATCAATTTCCATTAATTTATTAATTTATTAATCATTCTTATTCTGAAGAGAATTACCTTTAGATTTAGATTGGCTTATATGTAACTCGTTTCTTTTCTTTTTTCTACTTTCTTTTAGGATCCTATCGACAGATGGCAAATATTGTTCTGGATCAGCTCTGGCGTGTGTATAGTCTCCATGATCATTTTTCTTTTCGGGGGAAGCGGAAGGATCCAAAGCTGGAACGAGATTCGAAGCATGCCGGATGCAGAACGCGGGACGAATTAATTATTTGTAGAATTTTTGCAATTTTGCAATTACCACCGGACGTTAACCGTGAACAAATCATATACTTGAAATTTAAGTATAATTAAAAGCGATTGTACTTACAATTTCATTGTCCGTGTAAAACTTATAATCGCGTTTTACAATAACTTTAAGGCATTGACAATCGACGAAAAAAAATTAAAAATTATCGTTAACCCAGAAATATTGTAAATATTTTAAAGGTCCCTTTACGATAGTTAGCGCATGTTTTATTAGAATTTCACATGACGAATGTTTGTTTTATTGAATGAAATGTAATTTTTTATGCGGCTTGGAATGTTATATGAATTGTGATTGAATATTTCGTTAAATAAATTTGTATGAATTAAAACTTTTATCTGAATTAAGACTCTTATTTTCTTTTTATCATTCTATAAAAAATACACTGTATGAACATAATAAAACAATCACATTTATATATAAAGATAAAATACTTATCCATTGAAAAACTGTATGCGAAATGGATAGTTTTAATTGAATTTTTATATACAGTAGAACATTGAACAAAATGGATTACCTAATTATGTACATGAAAAAAGAAACATTTACTACATATCGAAGAATACTTACATTTTTGGAAGACATATCCTTTATATAAATCTGATTTTTACTTATTTTTACTTATGAATATTGAAACAGAAAAAGATTGATACCACAATTAAAAAATAAATTTATTATGAATCTTCGTTTCCGCTTAAAAAGAGCAATTAATAATAAAATAGATCAGGCTTATGAATCATTGATACATACCATTATTACATATTCAAAAGATAGCTCATTTAAATACAATGTTAGGCGATAATAGAAGTTTTAAATTATGAAACACGCAATTCTTTCAAAGTATTCTTTCAAATAAATATTTGAAAATTTTAATCTTTAGTTGATTTGTTGACATGCTCACAAATTTGATTTTTCCTGACCATCTAATAGGTTTGTCTCCCAATTAATTAAATTATTTGATATTATATAAAATAAGATAGAGGAAAGAAAACTAAATATTGCAGAGTCTATGCACAGCACAAAAATCACTTTTATTTGGTAAGAGTTTGTTAATTTATTACACATTTATCATCACAAAGCTGTTAATTTTATTAATCTCATTTCATAAATTTAATCATAAGTCCGTGTTAATTCATAACAAATACATGATTGTTTTCTATGAAAAGTAAATATATGTATAAATTAAAATTTCTCGTATACTCGATAAACTTTAGCGATAAAGCAACAATCTTCGTGCACATTTCATTCCAACTAAACTAGCATACATTTTAATATCATCTTCCTCGTCCTGCATGACGTTTTGGACCTGCCTTTTATAGATATTATATGGCATCGCAATCTTGCGGTGCAAAATTAATACCTGGAAATTTATTAATTAAAATAAATAAAACAATTCATAATTTAAAATGTAAATAATCTTTTTTACCTCAGAGATATCAACTATACCATCTTCATCAATAGCATCAATATCATCATTTAATCTGCTATATTTTTGTTTATCTAATTTTAATAAGGATGGTTCAATATCAAACCACATATAAGTTTCAGGACATAATAGTTTTGATGGTTTCATTCGTGCCTTGTACCGCATTTTGGGACATGAATGTATATAAAATCCCATGTAATAATATTTCAAATCTTTTGCAACTTTATTCAATTGTCTTGTTAAATAAATTTCTCGAAGTGAACTAAATAAAATAGTGAACAAAAAATTGATAATTTATTGCAAATAATATAAATATATAATTGGAAGATGGTACCAACCTAAATGTGCCAAGTGAGAGATGAGAATAAGCTGGATCATAAAAAAAGTAAACACTTGAAACACAAGATGGTAAAATGTCTATCACTCCAACTGCAATTAATTCGTTATCTAACCAATATTGTTCATGAAAAGAGCCATATCCATCCGGCGGTCCATCATCCGGTGTCCATGGCTTCAAAATTATAAACTCCTTATTTGTATATGTTCTTTATCCAAAGCAATGAAATTTTTAAGCAGTATTTAATAAAAAACAAATATAAAATATCATACATAATTTTGTTAAACATTTTAATATGAAAAAATATTGTCTTTTTTATATTTTTTAAAAATTTTGTTTTTTATCTTTTTTCATATAAAATTAGATTATAAAATTGAATTGAAACAACAGCCTGAATACAAAGTGTACCTGTAAAGAAGTTTTTACAAGAAAGTTGAAGAACGATTCATCATCTGACTCCTCTTCTGTTTCACCGTGAATGGTCATTTGATACTTTTTAAAAAGGTTTGCACTTACTTTAAGCGTTTTAATAAATTCGTCCGACAATGTTCTCACCAATTTCATCTAACGATTTAAATTTAAATAATGTTTAGTAAATACAATGTATAACACATACTGCAAGGAGGTCCACTTTGCTCCAATTAAGCATCATGACAATTATTCAATACGGTGTTTTATACATATATATTTTTTAATTATTATCTAATAATTTAGTAATATTATATAGCTGTATAATTTAACAATAATTATGTATGATATAAAATATATAAAAGCGGTAAAAAATTGTAATGATCTTTTTTCAGCGAGTAAAGCTTTAATATAACTCAGTAGGAAATCATAGCAATTGCAGAGTTACCTGTAAAGGTGATTTCACGAGAAATCTTGTATATTGCTTCTCTGTAATCTTTTCTGATAGAACTCCATGTATTGCTGTTTGATATTTTCTATATATCTCATAAGATTGTTTTGAGGTATTTAAATATCCGGAACTCATTGGCGAAATTCTAACTAGTTTCAGCTAGTATAAAAGTTGCAAATTTTATAAAATTTTATCAAAAGCCTATGATGAATTATTATAACTAAATCCAATAGTCAGAAATGTATGAAATAGTAAATAGTATATTTACTAAAGTACAGTAAGTCTAGAAAGAATAGTAGTTTGAGTAGTTTTCACATTTCCTACTTATTTTATATATTAAGTAAATTGGAGAAAAGAGGACCAACCTCAATGAAAACTATTTATGTGCAACATTTAGTAAAGTACTTGAAAAAATAGATGTACAATATACACCCTACCTCTAATCTATTAGTTCCTTTGTATACTTCATCAAACAATTGCTCTATACTTTTAGCTTGATTTTCTTGTTTATTTTCTTTGAAAATAGCCTCTATTTCTTCTTGAGTCTTTCCTTGTGTCATTAATTTATGTTGCTTTCGTTGTTTACGCAAAAGCTTTGCTTTCACACAAGGTGCTCGTGTAGGATTCATTTCTATCGATTGTAAATTTTGTGATGTATCATGAGAATCATTGTTATGACTTGACGGCACACTTTCAGAATTATTTTCTTTAATTTCTATATCATATTTTTTCTTCTTTTTGTCTGATACGCTAGGATGTAACCTTGCATTAATTTCATTATTAATAAATTTCACATCTATATCAGAAATATTTTTGTCACTATTTAAAAGATGTTTACTGTGAGTAGGAATTTCTTCAATATCTATAAAAGATGATTTCATAAAATTACATATTAAAGTTCGTATTATAAACAGTAATTTAACATATTAGATTTTCACCAGTATTATCACGATAATCTCCTTCATATGTATCCATAGTATCATCACTATGCAATTCATTTCTTAAAAATTTTGCCATTCTTTTCAAAATTTTTTTTTGTGATTTAGAAATTTTAAATTGCAATGCTTCACATCTATTATAAATATTTAGATATGTAAAAAGTTTATAATACAGTACGTACACGTATATTTTTTAATAAATGAAAAATTAATTTCTAAAGCAACTACAAACTTTTAATCTTACTTAATAGTATACATTGGACAACACGTTTGATCCATAATAGATTTGTAACAATAAGAACCGCATCTTCTCCAACCCCTATCTATTAGGGCTTGGTAATCTTGAACAGTCAATATATGTGTGCCCATGCCTAAAATGTATTACAACAAGATATAGTATATAACATGATGTGCATATTGACATTAACATGCCAAATACATAAGGTTTAACATGACAGGAACGAAAATTATATGCATGAAACAATTATTGATATTACATAACCTATTGACAGAAGCATGAAATCATCTGTGTAAGTAAAACTATTTAAGATGGAATTCGCAGTGCTTTGATATTTACCATGACTGAAATTCGTATTTGGGCTTTTACAGTAACCACATTTATATCTATCTTGTTCACCATAATACTCAACAATACTGTACGATTGTCTCGCCATATTTTACTGCTTTATTATTGCATTTACTCGTTTTATTATTGCATTGATTGCGATTTAATTATCAATAAGGTCAATTTATTATTGGATTATCTTTTATCTATATATTCATAAAATTGATAACACTTCGCGTATTTAAAAATTCAATCTACTAAACAAGAAGCGCCATCACCACTGCCATCTTGTCATTTTTGAATAATACAATAATGCAAACTTCATAGTGTAAAATTAAATACTTTTTTTTTTTTTTTCGTTTAACAGTTCTTCAACGTTAAATCAATGAAACGCTAAGTTGCATTTCGTGCAAAAAAATTATTCGTGAGAAATGGAATATTGATTTTCGTATTTATAAATAGCAAGTATAAAGTGCACATGATATTTTTGAATGCAGTTATTCGTACGACAAAAGTAATGATGTTTGGTGCAAATAACTGAGAAATTAGAATACTTAGATATTGAAAAATGTTGATGATATATTACTTATTATTAATGTATCATTTTATATCACTAATACATTATGTATTATATATTATCAATATATTATTTTATATATCATGTTAGCTTTGATAAATTGATAAACAATTATATAATTATCTACCATTTGTTAAAAATAATATGAGGAGTTGATAAAAATATCATATTGAAATTTTAAAATTCATCAGCATTTAGAATGGCTGATTTAATTGTTACAAAAATCTAAAATGATACAATGAGTATACGTTTTGCCATTTTCATGAATGAAGTTACTCCTGTTTTACAGCAACAGGCGTCTCTTACTACACAGAGTGAAACATCGATCTATTCCTTCGGGATATCCCCTTCTCTGTTGGTTACAGTTTCTATTTCACAGGGTAGTATCAATAATCGGGAATACCTGTGCCAACATAAATCCACACCACCGGGAAACGGTGTTCATCGAAATTTGTTATTTAATCGAAGTCGTCAAATATTCTTAAGTTTAAATATTTAAGTTTAAATATTTTCAAGTTTACTTCTCTTAAGAAATTATATTCCTCAAGGAGATCTAATTTTAATATTTTTAATATTTT